GCGATTCGTTGGTGGAATGAGATTGGGACTGATTTATTTGTAGCTTTTCCTTATGGCATTTAGAAGGACCAAAATTGTAAAAAATCTATACGTTTTGGTCATTATCAAGAACACTGTGTACCGAATAGAAGGGCATAACATGGAGACATTTTGGTATCTTTTCCTATTGTAATCTAGGCTCTTGAAAGACGGCAAAAGACTAAAGTCTAAGACTTCAAAAACCAATTACCGACATTTTAGCAATAACAGCTGAGCCAAAGTGCACAGAGCTGTGCATAAATGTGCAAAAATGAAAAGTGGATCCATGATGCCGTACAAAGGACTTACACTGGAGCCGCTGAATAACCACGTTCTTGACGTCCAGCTCTAAGAGGAATTCGGTGGAGGTGGCATGAAAGAGGCTGACCCGGCAACTGTTTTCTGTTGCCAGCCAAACTGCTTGTCCGCTGTTCGCCATTAGGTGAATACTGCGTGGGTCAGCCGGATTGCCGTTTATGGTGAACAATTTCTAAAAAGTAGAGAAATACAATCCGAACAAAAATGTTTATGAGATTTGCTCCTTTTTTTACTCAGAGTTAAGAGAAGTGTGCTGCTACATTAGGCCTCCGACTGCTTTCCCTCAGAGAAAAGGATCGCAAGACAACGGGGTTATTGAAACATTAAATGGTACCATAAGAAATAAAAATTGACTATAGATTTCCTATGCCATAGTCTATGGTATGTCAACCCACAAATGTTGTGGTTCTGCTTGTCTTGATCAGGTTCAATGTAGAACCACAACATTTGTGGGTTGGCACACAAGAAACTAGGACATAGTAAGTCATAGAATTGGCGTCATGCCTAGAAGCACAATAGAAGCGGTGGAGAATAGAGCTGGTTGGCCAACATTTGACGTGTTTGATGATAGCCTGAAACCATGAATTAAAGGCTTGACCATGAGAATTGCTCGGGATCTTTAGCCTCATATTAGTCTCCCACCCAGCTTGAGAATCCATATGAATACCATCAAAGACTTGAGACAGTGTGTGAAATAACGCTTCGAGTAGTACAGAAAGGGTGGCAGGGGTTGTGTGAATTACCTGAACCAGGAAGGTAGGAGGAAGATTCAACGAGGCAAGAGGGAGACTCTGATAAGACATATGGGAATAGGAGAGGGGGTGTGGAGAGTTCTCATGACATCCGTTAAAAAAGGACACATTATACCACATTTAAATAAGCAATAAACAAATTGTGATAGTGAACGGGTGATACGAGGATATAGGATTAGTGAATAGATCAGAGCAGAAGGAGAGATACCTCAACAGTTTAGCAGACAATTGGTCAAGGGATGGACTTTACTTGTCGCTTTGACGACAAGACTGGCAAAACTAATTGACGAAGCCAGCTAAACGACTGGGAATGTACCACGTCCAAGGTCCGAGGCTGGAAATGATCATGCATACAATGGACTCCGGACTAGATGCGTTTCACTAGGTCTTCCTAAAATTATGACCAAGTTGCGAATACAAAGTCAAAAAACTTCTAAATGTGGCCTCAAAGTGGCCTCAGTTTGAGCAGCTGTTATGATTTCCTACTTTATTAATTGTTGTTCTACACAAAATTGTAGAACCTGTTGGCTCCAGAGTTGAAAAGCTGCAGAGCACAT